CAGGCAGGGAGACTGTTGGGCAGAAGGGTGCACGGTACACCAACAGAATCCCCAATCTGTCTCGGTCGCCCAACACCAAGTAGAGGCAATCCAGCCCTGGCCTCGAAGGGACCGGAAGTCCTGTGAGAGAGAAGGAGGCTCTGTAAACCAACGCGACTCCCCCTCCCCTCCCTTCTGGGCGTGAACAGTGTTGAACCAGATACCCAGGCGGGCACAACTGGGAGAGGGCAACATCCCCCCCTCTCCCGCCCAGGTCTCCGTTATGCAAGCCAGGTCGGCCCCCTCCTCCACAATCAAGTCATGGATGAGGGAAGATTTATTGTTGACCGACCTGGCATTGAGCAGCAGCACCGTCAGGCCCGAGGGGTGGTTGACAAGGCTACCTGGCGCCCTCTGGCTGGCGGCAGAACCAGGAGGGACAGGTGTCAGCCATCTGTCCCTCCTTCTGCGCGGACACGTTAAGCCCCCACCGCTGTCACGTCCATTGCCCAAGACCACCCCAATGGCGGCGCCCTCGCGCTCCCCAGGAAACACAAACGTCGACATGGCCAGGGACGACTCCATAAAAACCAATTAACACAGATTAAAATACAATAAAATTATAAAAACAATTAAAAAACTCCCCCTTCCCTAACGTGGCCCTGGCGTCCTCCGTGCCCAGGGTGGTCCGGCGATGGCCGCAGGAGCGGTGTCAGCTGGCCCCCGGCTCGGCCGTACGCCCCAGTGTGGTGGCAGCAGCAGCAACAGAGCAGCGCCCCTGGCCGGCCCAGCCCCCCGCTCGGCCCCCGAACGGGTCCCAAACGGCGGCGACCGCCCTTTGGCTGTCACCCTTTGGCCGCTGGCCCTTCGGCCGCCAGCCCTGGCTGCCGTCGGCGCTGTAAGGTCGCAGGGCCCTCCCGAAGCCCCGCCCTGTCCCGCACGGCTCTCACCCGTGCGAGGGAGGCAGGCCGAAGCCGGGTCCTGGGCCAGTGGTCCTGGCCTCTGGAGGGCGGCGCAGCAGCCGGTGGCTTATTGTGGTTGTTTGAAGGACTGTAAGCCATCCTGAGATGCCATGCATAAGGGACGGCATACAAAAGGTTTAAATTAAAATTAAATAAACAAACAAAATTAAATGCATAAATATTTCCTTGCCTACCTGTGGTTGGACTGTAGCCTGTTCCCGAAGTGACTTTCGAGTTGGCAGACTGGCTTTACCACTTATACCATCCCATAGACCTATTGGGTTTTATCAGAGCCAACAGGGACTTCAGTGCATTTGAAATTCACGTACTGCTGATCCCATATGCCACCCCCAGTACCATCGGCCATACACATTGCTCGTTTTCCACCTTCCTTCCAAAAAAGTAGGTAATGGGTGTGCTTGAAATATTACCTCAAATCATTAATATGCATGAACAGCAAGCGGTGTCTTAGCTTGGATGCCACAAAACCTTGGATGTATTTCTTTTTGAACGCCGCACACAAATCAAAGCAGAAGAGTTTTGGATTGCTCTCGCTGCAAACCAAGGTCCTGGCTTCCGTTTGTCTTTCCCCCAACATCCCTAAACTCCCAGTTCAGACAACTTATTAAACACTCCACTCACTTTTGTTGTTTTGAATCCCACCAAAAGCCAGGCTGCTCATGCCATGTTTATTCACTATCCAGGTTTTAAAAGCAACCTGGGTTGTTCTGGTGCCCTAACCAGAAATTGGATTATATAGGTACCTAAACAAACCACCATTCCTGAAGAGCAAAGGCATGCATACTGTTTCTGACACACAGAAGTGAGCGCTGATGCTTTATGTTAAGAAACATGACACACAGAACACACAAGAGGGAGGCACTGGCAGATTTCTCCTTCATCACCTCTAAAACAAAAATAGTCCAGTTAACTCAGTAGCTGAGGAATGCCAACTACTCTGGAAAAAATGCGGCACTGCAGGGAAAATGCAGGATTGTGGAAGAAGGCAGGCTGGCTGGCTGGGAGAGGCATTAAAGAGGAGCCCTTCGTGCTGGGAAATCCCATAAAATCCCTCTTGTTGTATCATGTTGTCAGAATGCAGGATGCACCCGCATCTGCAGGGCAGAACTGAAGTCCAGCAGAGAAAGGGGGTGGGGGCTAGGCAGAAGGGACTGCGAGCTGTGGGGAAGTACATGTTCTGTAAGGGATGACGCCACAATGGAATTGCTTCTTTCTTCACGTGCATTTAATTTTCTTCGGTCAGGGGAAAGGCTGCTTCTGGAGCTGGAGGCATGACTTGGGGGTGTTTAACAAACAACACACGAAACAGAGAATTCACAATAAAGACAGTCTAAATTCCTCCAAAATCTTTCATACCCATCCCAACCCTTGCCATAAAAAATTATGAGTCATGGTACAATATCTGGCTAACTGCCACTGTTCGCTTTACTTCGGACAGGTGCAGAACTTCAGAAAAAAGGGAAAGGGTGAGGGGGAAGCTCTATGCAAGAAAGATATTAAATTCACTGCTAGTCAAGCATTAAGAAAAAATTGGTATAGGATGCTTTATCGGTAGTACATTACTTTAAAAGATATTGGAAAAATAGATAAGAATTATAACGGAAAATACTGGAAAAATAACAGGCTAGATGGGACCCTATGTGATGGATCTGAGAAATAACACAATTTTGGAAACTGATACATGCAGGAAATCTTTAAAATTAAGTTTCCTATGAGACCCAAGAACAAGTTTTTGAATATCATGCCAGAGATGCTTCAAAAAAAAGTCAGACTTATTGAAGTATAACCATGGCAGCAAGAATCACAATAGCTTCAAAATGGAAATCACCGGAGCCCCCCAAGCATTGAAGAATGGAGAAATAGATTAGCCAAATATGCAGTGACGACAAAGACAAAGCTAACTAATTGTGCAGACAGAAGATCATTAGAATAATTTAATGACAAATGGAAATTTTATTGTGCTTCGTGTGATTAATGGAAGTTCAGGGGAGCTGGAAAGGAAAAAGGAAAGCAGTAGAATTTGAACTGATTAGAAAATGTTGATGTATAGAACAATGGGTTTTTCTTTCTTTTTTGCAAACTCTCATAGAGCATGGGAAGAGAGGAAGAGAATCAGTTTTGGGGGCTGCAATATATGGGTTGCGTTTGTTTATAATTCTCTTGGCAACTTTATTTTGTTCATTTAGTTTATTATGCTTATATTAGTTTTTTATTGTACATTATTTTCTATGCATTTTATGTGTTAAAAATAAATTAACAACACCAACACCAACAACAACAGGGAAGCTGAGCCACTCTTAGCCCATCTGGATCCCTCGTCCCACATTCACCCACTGCCAAAAGACGCAAAACAGGCGGCCTCAACCTGCCTCCCAATCCTAGCTGCAGGTGAACAGGAAATGTCAATGTCTGTCCCACGACCAGGTTTAGCCCACAGGTTTCAGTTTCGCAAGAAAGATGGCTGATGCTCTCTGCAGGAACTCGGCCTTCTCCAGGGCCTCTCCTGCCTTCCTCTCGCCCAGCGCTCTGTCCATGGCCAAAGCCAAGCGGTCTGGCCTGAGCTTGGATCCGGCCTCCAAGTAGCGGGCGGGGGCGGAGGCATGGGAGGCGTGGAGGGCGTCTTCCAGAGTGCCCAGGGCCGCCAGGCAGACCCTCTTGTCTGCCCCACTGGTGCCGCTGCCCAGTGCATCATACAGGGTGTCCACCTTGGCCAAGAACTCGCACAGGACCAGGCAGGTCAGGGCCCCGTAGCGGAAGACGTCGCAGAGCACGACCTCGTTCTCCCGGCACGCGACTTTCTGCAGCAGGGAGAGTGTGATCTCTTCGGGGACCCCCCTCTCGTGGCAAAGCTGCCTCAGCACCTCGCTGTAGAGCTTCCCGGTGACCCCTGGCTTCTTCCGCCTCCCGCCGGCAGCCAGGGTGTCGTAGGCCATGCTGACGTTGTTGTTAAAGGCCGACCTAACAGGAGAGGGAAAGGCGGTTATAACCAAAGCACATGCTCCTGAGGTTGCCAACAGGGCTGCCCTGTGGGACAGTGAAACGCACAGGGCCTAATTCCCACATACACGTCCCCAGTGTGCTCAGCCCTGGAGCACGAGCTCAGAAGAGGCAGCAAACGTGGCACAGAAAAGGGAAAGCAAACAGCCGTTCCTCCTCTTTCAGCTTCCTTCTTTTCCTGCTCCCCATTAGGGGTCACCCAGTGGGGCAAGGCCTTTTCAGGAGCCACTCCCAGGTTCTCTGCCTCCCTGCCAAGAGGTTTCTTCTCTTCACTCTTGGCTGTCTTGCTGCTGGCAGGCAACACAGATTTTAAATCAGGCAGAGCTCTGGCAGGCAAGACCATTTCTCCTTGCAAGAGTTGTTTAAACAGGCCAAGGTAACCTATTTCAACCGAAGTATTCAGAATTGATTTGCTTATCCCACTTTTCAATTAAATTTTCTTTTTGAAATCTGTATTTTATTCTGACACCAGGTGAAGACACTCCTCAGCTTTTAGGAACGTGAATGACATTTGCTGAGAGATTTTTGTAATTTTAATTTATTTCTATATGGCCCAGTAGCTGAAATTGTCTAGGAAGTTTACAAATATTAAAATATAAAAGAAAATACATTATAAAGTTAAAAACTTCAAGCCAATGCATACCAAGCAACAGTAAGGAGCATCTTTGGAGTATGAAAGTAATATGCAATTGATTCCCCTTCATAGATCACTGCCTTGCCGTGGCGAAGGGGCTTGTGTAGCGCAATGAAGCGATGAGCTATGCTGTGCGGGGGCACCCAAGACGGACAGGCCATAGCAGGGAGCTCTGGCCAAAGGTGACCCCCTGGAGAAGGAAACGGCCGCCCACTCCAGGACCCTTGCCATGAAATCCCCATGGTCAGTACCAACAGGCAAAGAGATATGAGGCCGGAAGATGAGCCCCTCGGGTCGGGAGGTGTCCAATGTGCTCCTGGGGAAGAGCAGAGGGCTAGTACTGGTAGCGCCAGGAAGAGTGAAGCGACTGGGTCAGAGCTGAAAGGACACTCAGCTCTGGATGTGTCTGGTGGTGAAAGGAGAGTCCGATGCTGCAAAGATCTATACTCCACAGGAACCTGGAGTGCAAGATCCATGAATCAAGGCAAGCTGGATGTGGTCAAACAAGAGATGACAAGACTGAACATCGACATCTTGGGAATCAGCGAACTAAAATGGACAGGAATGGGTGAATTTAATTCAGATGACCATCAGGTATCCTACTGGGGCAAGAATCCCTCAGAAGAAATGGAGTAGCCTTCACAGTCAATAAAAGAATAGGAAAAGCAGTACTGGGATACAATCTCCAAAATGGCAAAATGATCTCAGTTCGAATCCAAGGCAAACCATTCAAACTCACAGGAGTCCAAGTCTGTGCCCCAACCACTGGTGCTGAAGAGGCTGAAGTTGACCAATTCTATGAAGGCCTACAGCACCTTCCAGAATTAACACCAAAAATGGTGTCCTTATCATCATGGGGGATTGGAATGCTAAAGCAGGAAGTTAAAAGATAATTGAATTTTTAATTTAATAATTTAATAAAACATTTCTAACCTGTCCTTCAAAACAGCATCTCAGGATAGCTTGTAAACATAAAATCCACAACAATGACTAAATGTAAACTATTCATAATACCATAACAATAATAAATAATTAGCAATAATAAATACAAGCAGGGCAACAGCTGGTAGTATTTTGTCAAGAGAACATGCTGGTCATAGCACACACTCTTTTCCAACAACCCAAGAGACGACTCCACACATGGACATCACCAGACAGTCAGCACAGAAATCAGACTGACTATGTGCTCTGCAGCCAAAGGTGGAGAAACTTTATACTGTCAGTAAAAACTAGACCAGGAGCTGACTGTGGCTCAGATCATGAGCTTCTGTTTGCAAAATTTAGGCTTAAATTGAAGAAAGTAGGGAAAAGCACTAGGCCACTCAGGTATGACCTAAATCATATTCCTGATGAATATACAGTAGAGG